TCTGCTGTGCTGACAGAGCAGTCAGCTCTTTCACTGTTCATGCTTTAGCTTCTCGTCTGCAGGCTCCAGGTACTCAGTGGTTTCTTTCAGTGCGTGCTCTTGGCTATTTGCCTGTTCGTACTTGGCTTCCCGTTGCATTCTTTCTGTCTTTCTGCCTCGCCTTCGTCTTGTTTTGCCTAACCCGGAGCACACAGCAACGGTACTGCTTTCGCTTGTCTTGGTGATGGACTCGACTTCCCGAACACTGTTCATCTTGTTCATTTATCCACTTCGGGCTTGATTCGATGTCCACTTGGGCGGCTTCAGCCAAATCGCTACTTCGCAGCAGTGCCTGCGCGGCTGCTTGAAGCTGCTCCATCAGGAAGGGGTCCACGGCAGCCTGGCGCGAACATCACTCGTGACAAAATCACACACAAAATATCACACAATTGCGCATTGCGCAGCTGGGCAAGCTTCCAATTGCCACGGAGGGACTGAAGTTTGCAGTACTAAACCCCTTATAACTTGTAAACAGTCTTGACATGTACTCACATCTTACAACTGAAACACAAAACTTTTGCAACAGGTCTGGCACAACCACACACTCAAAGAGCCTCTTCAACCGAAGATGTCTATCAATCGGGAACTGTTGTTGTCCGCATGCAGGCCCTGCCTGACTGGAGGGTGCCCTCAGTATGGCGTCGCAGTATGGAACGTGAAGACCCCTCCTTCGCATGCCTCGGACCCACTCAGAACTTATCGCAGACGAGCCACTCGGTCAGGTGACACGGAAGAGCATCGCCCTGATCATCCGCCTCCAAGAATGAAACGTTCACAGTGCCCACCTAGGTCACTGGTTCAACGTGCAGACAAGTTAGGTCACGGTGCAAGCTAAAACACTCAACAGACGATTGCACCGCGCCAAGAAATTAGCTTAGCTTGATCATGCGCCGCCTCGCAACAAGTACTTCAATCTAACACACATCTCCCTCACTCTGCTCTCATCAACCCATTCGTCTCGTAAAGTCCAGCCCACTGTTCGTCAAGAGACATTTAGCCGAAGATAGATCTCACCGTCTGAACTGCACACCCCAGCGTACGACCCTTCTCGCAAAACCAGGCACAACAAGAATCCCACACGCCATCCTACAGTTGTTCACTTCGGCATTGCGGATTTGACGTGCACTTGGAACAGATTGAACCCTTGGCATCAGTGCCTGCGCGACGGCCTGAAGCTCCTCGATCAGCAGAGGGTTCATGGGCTCCTAGCATTGGGATCGACTACATCCAACCACATGGCGTGCGCAAACAATGGTCAACTCTCGCAATCTGTGCTTTGACGAGCCAACGTAAATTGCTCCAAACTCCATCGCCCTGCGACCAATGCCTAGCTTCCGAACACTGCACGGCCTACGCCTAAGCTCCTTACGCCTGCTTCAAGTGTCCAGATGCAGGTATCAAGCTGCAATGCTCGATGCTGGAGGAAGTTGCAAGATGTTGCAAGCACAGCACGAGAGCTCAGACGTCCGCCCAATCCGAGCTTCCCAACCCCATGCTGGGCATACTCAGCACCAGTGCACCTGTGAAGCATCGGAGGCTCCCTCGAGGTCCACGGGGCTGCTGCACCTGCCGGGCTTCGCTAAGCAGGGCGACGATGTGTTCGACAACTACCAGTAGAAGCCGGAGCACCTCGAGCTGAGACCTGCCTCCAGAATGCCAGCCATGACCTTCAAGCTCGTCTTAGGCAAAGTGCAGACGAAGGCAGGGAAAGTTCAATGAAGAGAGTCCAAGAAGAGGGCAGCATCGCATTGCACCGCCTCGAAACACACGTTCGCACTGCTCAGGCACGTTTGCGCAGCTGGTCGTGTGCCCGACTGAGGAACAGTTTCATGCGCACCGAGTTTTCGTCAGTCCGGCTTGCCTCGTGCTCAGCTTCCTGTGAACACGCCTCGGAATGCTTCAAGCACGATCGGCCAAGCTTCTCGCATGAGCTCTTGGCGAAACATGACTGTTCTCCCATTTCTGTTCGATGGCACCCATCCCATCCCCGTCTCCATTTCATCCCGTCCCGCGCCATGTGCAGGCGGCATGCTTCAACAGCAACATCTCGAATGCCGAAAACGAGACTGATGCTGATGCTCTCGCTCCGTGCACCGACCGGCAGTACTAAGCTTTGCTGTCTTCACATGGCCCCGCACGATGCTTGCATGTGACCTGTTCCAGCTACTTCAGGCTGGGCGAAGAGCGACCTCCCCCTTGTTGCTGGGGTTGAGTTCCCAGGTGCCCATCAGATAGTTTGGACTGGTCCGAAACGGTGGATTCTGCGGTTCTCCCAGGCTGAAACAGACATGCTTGAAACCGGGGGCCACTCAGCTACAGCCATCGCGACCGGCTGTGAGCGAAGTAGTGAGTGAGCGAGTAAGTAAGTGAGTGAGTATCGACCTGTGGTGCTCTCCGGCCTACGGAAGCCAGAGTTCAACGCTTCGGGCCCCGCAATCTTGGCTGTCTTGGAACAAAGCTCTTCCCACGATGATCCCTCAC